TAGGGAGTGACGCAGTGAGGTAGGGAGGGAGGCAGTGAGGTAGGGAGGGAGGCAGTGAGGTAGGGAGTGACGCAGTGAGGTAGGGAGGGAGGCAGTGAGGTAGGGAGGGAGGCAGTGAGGTAGGGAGGGAGGCAGTGAGGTAGGGAGTGACGCAGTGAGGTAGGGAGTGACGCAGTGAGGTAGGGAGGGAGGCAGTGAGGTAGGGAGGGAGGTGGTGAGGTAGGGAGGGAGACAATGAGGTAGGGAGGGAGGTGGTGAGGTAGGGAGGGAGGGAGGTAGGGAGGGAGACAGTGAGGTAGGGAGGGAGGCAGGTAGGGAGGGAGACAGTGAGGTAGGGAGGTAGACAGTGAGGTAGGGAGGGAGGCAGTGAGGTAGGGAGGGAGACAGTAAGGTAGGGAGGGAGGCAGTGAGGTAGGGAGGGAGACAGTGAGGTAGGGAGGGAGACAGTGAGGTAGGGAGGGAGGCAGTGAGGTAGGGAGGGAGACAGTGAGGTAGGGAGGGAGACAGTGAGGTAGGGAGGGAGACAGTGAGGTAGGGAGGGAGGCAGGTAGGGAGGGAGACAGTGAGGTAGGGAGGGAGACAGTGAGGTAGGGAGGGAGGCAGTGAGGTAGGGAGGGAGACAGTGAGGTAGGGAGGGAGGCAGTGAGGTAGGGAGGGAGACAGTGAGGTAGGGAGGGAGACAGTGAGGTAGGGAGGGAGGCAGTGAGGTAGGGAGGGAGACAGTGAGGTAGGGAGGGAGGCAGGTAGGGAGGCAGGTAGGGAGGAAGAAAGGAGTGATCAGGTTGTCTCACTCTCCTCACCTGCCACTGAGAGTGTAGTTATCACAGATGAAAACTACCTTGTTACGTTGAAGGGTGGTCCAGGCCGAGCTCTAGCTTCTGGGCCCCAGCATATAGTTATCAGCTGCCCGGTACAATGACCACCGGTTAAAGCTGTCTGTTAAAACTCCTCTTCCACCCGTGCCACTGTACTGCGCATATAACCACTATGCACTATAACTCCGCATCTTCCTATGGCACCCTATGGCACCCTGTGACACCCTGTGGGACACTATGGCATCCTATGACACACTATGGCACCCTATGGCACACTATGGTACACTATGGTACCCTATGACACACTATGGCACCCTATGGCACCCTATGGCACACTTTGGTACCCTATGGCACCCTATGGCACCTTATGGCACACTATGGTACCCTATGGCACTCTATGACACCCTATGGCACACTATGGTACCCTATGGCACCCTATGGCACCCTATGGCATACTATGGCACCCTATGGGACCCTATGGCACACTATGGCACCCTATGGCACACTATGGCACCCTATTGAACCCTATGGCACCCTATGGCACCCCATGGCACCCTATGGCACCCTGTGACACCCTGTGACAGGTCTAGACCAGTTCTCACCTGGGTTTCGTAACATAACCTTGTCACATCTTCACCTTGAAAGGGTTAATTAAGCTTCCTCTTGTACCTTGGGGCCTCGTAGCCTGGTGGATAGCGCGCAGGACTCGTAATTCTGTGGCGCGGGTTCGATTCCCGCACGAGGCAGAAACAAATGGGCAAAGTTTCTTTCACCCTGAATGCCCCTGTTACCTAGCAGTAAATAGGTACCTGGGAGTTAGTCAGCTGTCACGGGCTGCTTCCTGGGGGGTGGAGGCCTGGTCGAGGACCGGGCCGCGGGGACACTAAAGCCCCGAAATCATCTCAAGATAACCTCAAGATAACCTTATTTCCAGCTTACGTGACGGTCAGCTTACTATCTTTATAACTCTTCTTGGTGCTCTTTATTGTTATTTTGTGCTTGGTGATAAGAGGAGGGGGGGGGGTTCCCCTGCTGGTGCTGCATACTCGAGAACTGGGCTCATGTAGGTGATATAAAATAATATGTAGGTCCGTATGTAGGGGTGTGACATATGATTCCATATGCATGAGGTTAATAGTGTTATAGAAGTCCGTATATAAGCAGTTAAAAATTTAATAAATTTTATTTATTAAATAAAATTTTAAAATTTAAAAATTAAATTTAAAAAATTACAAATTAAATTTAAAAATTTAAAAATTAAATTTAAAAATTTAAAAATTAAATTTAAAAATTTAAAAATTAAATTTAAAATTTAAATTTAAAAATTTAAATATTAAATTTAAAATTTAAAAATAAATTAAAAATTAAAAATTAAATAAATAAATTTAAAACTTAAATGAAATTTTTTAAAAATTAAATAAAGAAAATGGCAATAAATTTATATTAAGTATAGGCTTGTCATATATTCATAGTTATAATATAAACGAAATCAATCGTTTTTGCGCGTAAAATGGTAGGTCAAATTGCATCAAAGACTGGCCAATGGGAGCTGGTGATTGGGTTAACATTGTGTGGTTATGGTGCCTAGAGGACGAGCCCCGCCTGTGACGTCATCATGACGCAGTAATGACCCTTGACCTTCATAGCACACTATGATGACCCGAGGCGTTTTGGCTGCTGGTTTGACCAATGAGAAGGGTGATATAAGTGTGTGTGTGTATGTATGTACTCACCTAATTGTGCTTGCGGGGGTTGAGCTCTGGCTCTTTGGTCCCGCCTCTCAACTGTCAATCAACAGCTGTACAGGTTCCTGAGCCTATTGGGCTCTATCATATCTACACTTGAAACTGTGTATGGAGTCAGCCTCCACTACATTACTTCCTAATGCATTCCATTTGTCAACCACTCTGACACTAAAAAAGTTCTTTCTAATATCTCTGTGGCTCATTTGGGCACTCAGTTTCCACCTGTGTCCCCTAGTGCGTGTGTCCCTTGTGTTAAATAGCCTGTTTTTATCTACCCTATCAATTCCCTTCAGAATCTTGAATGTGGTGATCATGTCCCCCCCTAACTCTTCTGTCTTCCAGCGAAGTGAGGTTTAATTCCCGTAGTCTCTCCTCGTAGCTCATACCTCTCAGCTCGGGTACTAGTCTGGTGGCAAACCTTTGAACCTTTTCCAGTTTAGTCTTATCCTTGACTAGATATGGACTCCATGCTGGGGCTGCATACTCCAGGATTGGCCTGACATATGTGGTATACAAAGTTCTGAATGATTCTTTACACAAGTTTCTGAATGCCGTTCGTATGTTGGCCAGCCTGGCATATGCCGCTGATGTTATCCTCTTTATATGGGCTGCAGGAGACAGGTCTGGCGTGATATCAACCCCCAAGTCTTTGTGTGTGTGTGTGTGTGTGTGTGTGTGTGTGTGTGTGTGTGTGTGTGTGTGTGTGTGTGTGTGTGTGTGTGTGTGTGTGTGTTTACTATTTGCTCCTGCAAAATCGAGCTATTAGCTCATGGACCCCGTCTTTCTAACCGATCTATTATCCTCTATTATGTGAACTACATATTTCTAATGCATACACATCCCTGAGAAGCAGCCTGTAGTAGCTGTCTAACTCCCAGGTACATATTTACTGCTAGGTGAACAGGAGCATCAGGGTGAAAGAACCTCTGCACATATTATTTTTTTCTGCCTCGACCGGGAATCGAACCCCGGCCCCTAGGACTACAACTCTCGAGCGCTGCCAATTTAGCCGCGACGTCCCTCTTCCCGAGGCTGTGGGTATGTGGGTGTGTTATCTATGCTGGTAACTAGCCTGAGTTAATTTATGTATCTAATCCTGTTTACTAGTTGGACATTCTGTTTTGTATTTTCTGGTTGTTTCAGTTCACTTCTGAAATCTCTGGATAAAAGAATCACTGACTTCCTTATATTTGTGAGTAAGTCCTTCAGCTTGTGTGTTTAGCCTTGGCAGTTGGTCAGTCACCTCTCCCAACCGCTTGAGCTGACGGTAGAGCGACGGTCTCGGTTCTTGCAGGTCTGCTTTCAATCCCAGACTATCCAAGGGAGTGGGTACCATTCCTTTCCTCTGTACTATCCCAAATCAGTATCCCTTCCAAGTGCTATATAGTCGTAATAGCTTAGTGATTTCTCGCCACAGCCCCGGTCCTGTGTCAAGTAAGTCCACTACGGGATCGCCATAGCCCGTGCTACTTGGAAACTTTTTGTTCCGAGTTGCTGAATCTTAAACACTAACAACACCAGTACACACAGAAATCACAATAGCGTGATGCATCAAATGAACGAATCCACAAGGTCCGTGACGAGGATTCGAACCTACGTCCGGGAGCATCCCAGCTCAGTCGATTAAGGCAGCGTCTGGGATGCTCCCGGACGAAGGTTCGAATCCTCGTCACGGCCCTTGTGGATTTGTTCATTTAACAACACCAGTGCTTTCTGCTGCTAGTTACGTTACCTTGGTCAGTCACCGACGTCTTCCCTCTGGCATGACTGGTCAGCAGTTGTTCCGCTGCCATCACCACTCTCTCATTTGCATACTGTTCCTCTGGCTCTTCTCCTCGTACACTTGCTTATTAATTTCTTGGGTCATTTATGTAAGTGACCAAATAATAGGTAGACAAAGCCAGGGTACCTATTGCTCCTGGCTTAGGGCCCTGGAGAGGCCACTCCTGACCGACAACCGGAGAGGGACGCCATAGTCTCCTGAGACTGACGGATGCCTACTTTATGGAAATTATGACTCTTCTGTCTCCTGCAGTCCCTGTCATTTTTTCTTTATGGTGTTCCGCTTACTGTTGCTGGCAGTGAGACATTCTGTATTGATCCCGGGACTTTTTTTGTACCTTCGTCTGAGAATGTGTGTTACCTTTCCTCAGCTTCCAATAATTTCTTGTAATAAAACGTCGTCGTCCCTTCACTTTCTAGTGTGTGGTTTTTGTCAACAAATTTCTTGTAATTATTTTACCGCCAATTCTCTCTCAGCAGCCAGTTAATGTGTCCTTGTGTGTGTGTGTGTGTGTGTGTGTGTGTGTGTGTGTGTGTGTGTGTGTGTGTGTGTGTGTGTGTGTGTGTGTGTGTGTGTGTGTGTACTTACCTGCCAGTAGTTACTTGTTAGTGCCTACTGGGGTAGTGAGGTCCAGCTCTTCATCTCCCGCCCACTAACCTTCTTGTACCTGTTGTGTTAAGAGTGAACTGTTCTGGTGCTCTAATTCTTTGTTGAATCTGGACATAAAGTTGTGGATGGAGGTGGCTTCTACAACGTCTTCTTTCATTACGGTCTACTTGTTGGCCACCTGACCAGGTTACGAATATATTTCCTAACATTTCTTGAACTCATTTTCATTACGGGATCACCATAGCCCGTGCTACATGGACACTTTGTTCTGAGTAGCTAAATTTAAAACAAAATGGACATATTTGTGTTTACATCTTCCACTTGTATCTTGTCCTACTTTCTCTCACTTTAAAATGGCTGTCCTTATTCACTTTGTCAATTGCCCTCAGTATCTTGTATGTTCCGATCATGTCCTCCCTGTATCTTATCTCCTCCAGGAATGTGAGGTTTTGTTCCCTTAATCTGTCTTCATAGTTTAGGTCTCTTACCTCTGTAATCTTGTTGTAAACATTTCAATTGTTTCAATTTTTGTGTGTGTTTGTTGGCATACTTGTTCTCAACTATTTGTCTGCAGGATCGAGCTTTAGCTCTTAGACCCTGCCTTTCTAGCCCCTGGTTGTCTAATGCAATGTTGCTGATACTCTTACACTAAAAGGAAAGTTTCTGACGTCTTTGTGACTCATCTGTTTGGCCAGCTTCCACCCGTGTTCTCTTGTGTCGTTGGTGTTCATGTTGTCCCTTGTCCTCTCTGCCTGTTATCCTCAGTATTATATATGTCTCCATCATGTCTTCTCTCTCCCCCTCCCCCCCTCTGTCTGTCTGCCTGTCTGTCTGTCTGTCTGTCTGTCTGTCTGTCTGTCTGTCTGTCTGTCTGTCTGTCTGTCTGTCTCTCTCTCCTCTCTCTCTCTCTCTCTCTCTCTCTCTCTCTCTCTCTCTCTCTCTCTCTCTCTCTCTCTCTCTCTCTCTCTCTCTCTCTCTCTCTCTCTCTCTCTCTCTCTCTCTCTCTCTCTCTCTCTCTCTCTCTCTCTCTCTCTCTCTCTCTCTCTCTCTCTCTCTCTCTCTCTCTCTCTCTCTCTCTCTCTCTCTCTCTCTCTCTCTCTCTCTCTCTCTCTCTCCCTCCTCTCCCTCCCTCTCTCTCTCCTCCCTCCTCCTCTCCCTCCCCTCCCCCCTCCCTCTCCTCTCTCTCTCTCTCTCTCTCTCCTCTCTCTCTCTCTCTCTCTCTCTCTCTCCTCTCTCTCTCTCTCTCTCTCTCTCTCTCTCTCTCTCTCTCTCTCTCTCTCTCTCTCTCTCTCGTTCCTTGGCTTTTTTGTCTAAAACGTCAGTTCTAATTCTTTCCATCTATCTTCATATCCCGTCCCTCACAATTGCTGGAGGCGCCTCATCGCAAACCTCTGAATCTTTTCTCGTTTTCTTTTTTTTTTATACGCGGGCTCTAGGATGGGGCTGCATACTCTAAGATTGGTCTCACGGAGGTGGTGAACAGTGATCTAAATGCCTTCTCACTTCTTCAATGCTGTTCTGACTTTTCACTTTGTTGAGTATGCTGCTGATGTTATGTTGTTTATATGTGTCCTGTATTGAGGTTACATCCACTCCCCGGGTCTTAGTTTCAAGTTAACTGGAGACTTTTACCTTTATTGTAACCTGGTCTCCTGGCTCCTGTTCCCATTTCCATCACCTTGCACTTGCTTGTGTTAAACTCTAGTAGCCATCTCTCATGCTATGCAGCTTGGCGTAAGTCCTTTTGGTGGTATTTGGTAGTTTTCATCTGTCTCGCCTATTCTCGTTATTGTTGCATCGTGTGTGTGTACTCACCTATTTGTGCCTGCAGGATCAAGCTCTAGCTCTTGGATCCCGCCTTTCTAGCCCCGGTTATCTAATGCAATGATTCCTGACCAAATTTTCCTATCATGCGTGTTTTTTTAAAGTTGTGTATTGAGTTTGGCTCGACAACCTGCACAGTCAGGTCATTTCATTTACTCACTATCCCTCACGCTAAAAGAAAACTTTCTAACATCTCTATGACACATTTGTCTGAAGCTTCTACCCGTGCCCCCTTGTTCTGTTGGTATTCAATGAAAACATATCCTCTTTTTCCACCCTGTCAATCCTTATAAGTGTCTTGTACATCTGTATCATGTTCCCCCTCGCTCTCCTCCTTTCTAACGTCGTCAGGTTTAGTTCCTTCAGTCTTTCTTCATACCTCATCCCTCGCAACTCTGGGACGAGTCTTGTTGCAAACTTCTGCACCTTTTCGAGCTTCATTATGTGTGTTTTTTTTAGATGGGGCTCCAGGACGGGGCGGCATACACTAAAACTGGCCTCACATAGGCGGTATACAATGATCTAACAGCCTCCTTATTCAAGTTCCTGAAGGATGGTCTGACTTTTGCCAGCGTAGAGTATGTGGCTGACGTTATTCTGTTTGAACCTCTGGAGTCAGGTTTGGTGTTATGTCCACACTCAGGTCTTTTCCTCTAGTCGTTGTAGGGAGGTAGTCTCCCTTCGTCGTGTATTTTGGCGTTTTGGTCTCCTGGCACCTGATTTCATTTCCATCACCTTACATTTGCTGGTGTTGCACTCTGACAGCCATTTTTTCGGACCAGCTCCGATGTTTGTATAAGTCATCTTGGAGGATCTTACAATCCTCTACTGTCTCATCCTTCATTATTTTCGAATCGTCTGCAAATATCAACGTATAGGACTCAATTCCTGCAGCCAAGTCATTTACGTAAATGAGGAATAGTGTGGGACCCAGCACCGATCCTTGAGGCATCCCGCTTGTTACACTATGCCAGTCCGACTCCTCGCCCCTCACTGTCACTCTCTGACACCTGTCTGTTAGGTAATTCCTTACCCATGTTAGTGCGTTTCCGGCTACTCCCGCCTGCACTGTTACGAACCCGATTCCATCGTCGGAGCATGGAGCAGCGACGTCAGTGCCATCTGTGAGTCCGCTTCCGAAAATCCCCACAAATTGGACGACGCCATCTAGTGGTGACAGGATTATATCAGCAAGAGGCGCTAGATTCCTGTCCTAGTCAGCTCGAGAGGTAGCTGGTGCTGACCTCTGGCGCCTAGAAAAATCAGCGTCCTCTATTATAGGAGTTATATGTCTATGTCAGAGTACGTAAATGATGTTTCCTAGTGTCCCATGTACTGACCAGTGTACTGATGACGTGTCTGTATCCACAGAGTCGACGTAGGGCTGCTGTGGTACGAGGACAGTCAGTCTACCCAGGGCAGCCAATCGCTCTCTACTCCATTCTGCTTTACGGAAGCAGTGAGCCGCCTCCGGAGAAGAACTGTGTAGTGTTCTACTGTCTGCCTGTGAAGTGGCAGTGACAGAATTCTGCGTACCCGGGACAGGCTAACAGAAGAGACGACTGACAGTAAGGTGCTACGGAGGAGTATAACCAGCGAGTTGCAAGAAGCTCCTGCCAGGGGTTCGCTACCCTTGTATTTGTTCGTGAAGAGGCCAAGCAGCTCGAGGCTGATGTTCTCTGCCATCACCAGGCTGGAGAGTGATTGTGGGCGTGCACGAAGAGCACCTAGTGAGACTGTTTTGGCTCTAGGGTAGACTCGTTGGTGTTTCCCAGTATTGGTTGAGGACGGTACTGTGTGTGTTGAGGGACACTGTAGCTGAAACCCGTCCTCTTAAAAAGAACGTCACTTTTGGCTGGTATGCGCGATATGGCTAAATTTGGACGTAATTTGAAATGAAATCGACTCACAAAAGTGACGTTCTGTTCCGTTTTCTATTTGAGTCGTCCGCCTTACGCGCAGAGGTTATAAGAAGACACTTTAAATTCACGTTTTTCATAACGTTTTGAAACTTTATGAGAATTTCCTGCCCACCTAACCTATCAGAGGACCCTTAACTTACTGTTGTTGAAAAAAGAAATCCCAAATTTATTTTAATTTTTTTTTCATTTTCAAATTACGTCCAAATTCGGCCATACGGGCAAACGGCCAAAAGCGACGTTCTTTTTAAGAGGACAGGTTGCAGCTGACAAGACTGCATCGATTGAGCATCGAATAGCGCTTAGTGTCCTATGAGAGAGACACTTGTGTACATATTAAGTGTAGTAATACTTCCTTTAGGATTATATATGAGGTGATGGGAAAGTGATTATATGTGATTATATTGATAATTGATGAAGTGTCGTATTCAATGCACCTCCCTCATTGTGTTTTACTTGCATTACCGAGCTCACTCCTTGAAAGTCACTACTAACTTAGGGCCGGATACCAGAACTTTAGTACCACCAGCAAAGAACCCGGTTGCAACCCATTGTGGCCGTAACAGTCAATCAATCAACTGTTACTACTATTTTTTTTCACACACAGCTACTGTGTGCGTGTAGGTGAGCGCATGTATGTGTGTGTGTGTGTGTGCACGCAAGTGCGCAAGTGTATTTGTTTTTCCAATTACTAGTTATCTCCGGCCAGCTGGCTAGCTCGGTAGAGTCCCTTGGGCGGACAGCCGCCGGGAGGGAGGGTGTTGGGGTGGGCTGGGTGGGGGAGGTGTTTTGGGTGGGGGAGATGGGTGGGCGGGCGGGTGTTGGGGGAGGTAGGGGCAGCCAGCCAGCCAGCCGGGGCTGCAGCTTCACCTGACAACAAGATATCGAGAAGTCGATTTACCTGTGTGTGTGTATTGTGTTGATGTGTTTGTGTATTGTGTAGATGTGTGTGTGTATTGTGTAGATGTGTGTGTGTATTATGTGTGTGTGTATTGTATGCGTGTGTGTGTATTGTATATGTGTGTGTGTGTGTGTGGCCGTTTATATGTGCTAAGAGGTTAAGCTTCAGATCCTGGTTCCTGCCTTTCAATCGCGAGTCGCATATTACAATAACTGGTGACTCTCTTACCTATAATGATTCATGCCCTCGAAACTATGTACAGAATTTGCCTAACTACTTCCCCCTTAGCATCTCATTCTAGCTACTCACTATTTGAACACAAAGGAAATGTTCTTTTTCACATCCATTAGCTTGTTCTGACTCTGTTCACATTGAACACTTCTTGTGTCCACTTTGGCGATGCCTCTAACAATCTTATATGTCGTAAACATATCTCTTTCTCAGCAGGGTGAGGTGTGTGGCTTACGCAAATGTTTGATGGCATTGCACATGACACTGATATCGTCTCGTTAA